TGTATCTCTGAGAAGGGAAATAACGACACCCGAGATGATTTATTTACTGCATTCATGCAAGTAAAAATGCCCAGTGAATGCTGATTTCACATTGAGCCCACTGGCATAATGCGTCAGGAATTAAATGTACGAACATTTCTTTAGAACTCCTTAGCTGAAGTTTATCACAATCCTTCAGCCATTGCCTAGCAACTTGTAAAGGCTATCAAAGAGCTCTTTGTCCTCAGTCCTGGCAAAAAGGGCCCCTCACAGCTTTCCTTATCAGCATTAGAACATTTATCAGGAAAAAATGCCTTCATTGAACCAGAGATTGCCACAAATTTAAAGCTACCCTCTTCTCCTTTTGCCCCTTCTTCCAAATATTTGAGGGAGCTATTTCCTGAAGTAACTTGTGTTGAAGTTTTATCTGTCCTTCTTAAACATTCCAGAGAAATTTCTTGAAGATGCTCAAATTCTATTGCTTTATAATCAGTATTTAAAATACACACCTGAGCTCTCAAAAGTATTACCTTCTCAAAAATGAACAAGGCAGGCGTTACCTAGAAAGAGTAACTGTTCTAAGTACAAACACACACACACAGGATAAATTTGTTGGGCTTCCTGGCTTGAACAAAGATTTCTTCAGGGAAACAGAGAATGCTTTTGTTGCTCCATCCAATTGGAAAGTGGTCTGGACTATCATGTACAAAAGAGGAACTCTGCTCATTGATTCAGTCAATACATATTTTAAAACATCCATCTACTAGCCACTGTAGAAAGCAAAAAACAGGCTCCATTTCTTTCCTAGAGCTGCCAGAATCAATCAATTACCTGGACGAGGTATGGTGAGGAGGGAGGTATGCCAGCTTGATTGGAATCTGCCCAGGGGATTGGGGGAAAGAAACTTTTGGATGTGAGGATAAAATGAGGAACTGTGACCTTGGGTTTATGTCTGTTCCTTGGCCCTTGTCTCTTTCACAGTATTTTCTTCTCAGCTTCCCTGCTATCATGAGCTGAGCAGCTCTTCTCCACTATAGTCTTCCACCATGATGTTTCTACCTTGCAGCCAGCAACCATGGACTGAATCCTCTGAGACCATTAGCCAAATCAAACATCTCCTTCTTTAAGTTGTGAGTGTCAGATGCCATATCTTAGTGATGAGAAAGCTGACTAATACGGTGATGTAAGGAACGTAAGGAACCCACAGTGTTTTATGCTATACATCTCCACAGTTCATCTTCCCTTACACTCTAGCTGCCATTGATTCAGTGGAATGCCTTGTCAAGTTTACTATTTTTCACCTTCGTAACCCCAATGGCCATTTGACTGACTTTCTTCTAGACTCACCTCCTCAAATTATCTTCTGCCCTCCTATAAAATACAAATTCAGGCAAACCCACTCTTGGAAACTTGTGCATTTGGCCCGCAGTACCACCAGAAGGAAGTAAATCCTGCTCGTATGACATTCTGGCTCTTCTCCCTGAAGCCACTGCTTGGCTGCCCAGCCCAGATATCTCACCAGTTCTTACCAGTCCCTGAATTTCAACTGTACCCAGTTTTTGTGATTCCTAACGGAAGGGCATATACTGGTTTGGGCCTCTGTGGTGGTCAGGGAAGAGCTTTAATTTTCATTGGCTTCGGGATCCACCCCCGAAACTGAAGGAGCAAACTTCCAGGTATATCATGGAGGTGTGGCCTCGAGGTCTACATCCAGTTCCTGAGCTTTTCCTCTCTGGGACTCTTCCCGTTCTTCTTGGTCACCATGAACTAAGTGGGTTTTCTCTACCTTGCCCTTCTATCATAATATTCCTGCCATGGACCCAGCCAAATTAAGGATTAACTTAAATCTTTCCTCCTTTTAGCTGTGGGGGTCAGGCATTATGTGCCATCAAAGAAAAGCCAAGTAATACGGCCTCTGAGACTGGCCCACTGTTCCCTCAACCTGAAGCCTCCCTCCCTCCTTTGCAAAGTACCTTCTTCCCTGACCATGATCCCCAGACAGAGCTTGAGGTGAGGCATCTGGGGCCATTAGCACCCCGGAGTTTCCTTTCTCAGAGAATATCCCATCAGTAAGCCAGCAGCTGGCTACACTCTCAGAATGTTTATTGACTTCAATTCTTTTTTATTTTATATTTTTACAAATAAGGAAACTAAAGGATGTCTTAGCTTAGCAAAATTGGCAAAGAATGTGATGAGAGCAATAACAATAATTAATGAATACATACATACACGCACACCAAATTCCCCCACTTCTTTAAAAGCAAACTGTAATGCTCTATCTTGGGGTACATCTCACTGCAAGGTTGTCCCTACATAGCCACCTTATACCTACATATGACTTAGAGAAGCAATTACCCAGCACTCCTTCCATGAGCCCAATTGCCTAAAATGTCACAATTAGATATTTGTTTCTTAGACTTTTAAAGGCATGTGCTGTATTAAAATAGTAATATTCTCCAGGGTATTTTCACTTTAGCAGTAATAGATTTGTCTTAACCTTCCATGACTCAGAACTCTGCGGGGAGGAGTAGCAGTGGGAGAAAAGTTGCAGCCGAGGGAGGAAGACGGACATCCAGATATTTGACTTCAACTACATAAGGCATTAGTATCTGTAATGTGGTGGCTCATTTTCACTGATGATAGAGTAAAACAAACAGACTTGAGTTTTTAAGAGGGTGCTGGTAGTAGAATGTGTATAATTTACATTCGAAGGAAAGATGTCTATGCACACCTAAAGTAAAAGTTTTCTGAAAATAAGGCTGGTTCTGATGAAATCTGCTTATATTATTGGTGGCAGAAGGTTGATAGATGACCTTTAGAATTCTCAGCCAGACTCTGGAAAAGAAATGGTGAGTAAATCATACGAAACAAGCTCATCTTGCCATAGGATGGGTCTTGTTACTTATAAGAAAATTGATAAAGTTGATTATGACTGATGGTTATGCTACCAGGTGGACAAAGCTCTTGAGGGAAGAGGAATCATATATGAAATAAAGGATCACTTTATTCAGATTGCCAATCTGATCTGTAACATGCTATGATTGAGAGAGTGCTAAGATGCACATAAATCATAACCTATAATATTAAGAAAACCAGCATATACTTCTGAGCTGAAGTGTTCTCCATTCATCTTAACTGAATTTAAGTGTGACGTGAAGTACTCATTTGGCAGGTAACTGATACACTAAATTGCCATACATGGGTAGATCTCACCCTCCAATGCCCCATCCCACCAAAAAGGAGAGTGAAAAATCAAGACTAATTTCCAGGACGACTATCGGGTTCGTCAGAGAATTATGCGCCTTCCACTCTTTAAACTTCTCCTTGAGACTTGCCTGAGGGCCTCAAGACCAAGATGCCCAGGAGTTTTTGATCACTCTGAGGCAGGTGTCTCCACCTTAGCTGCTGCTAAATAGGAGTCAGCGTTCAGGGTCTGAATTTGAGTCGAGAGTGAAATCCATAGCAGATTACCCTTGTTGGCACTTTAAAAAAAATTCACCAAAGAAAGTTTAAGTTCACAACTTCCTTTTGGAGTAGACCATTATGTTTGTCTGTTTGATGCTTAATTCTGTTTGTCTGTTTGATGCTTCTGCTGAATACAGGTGTTGGTAAAATGGTCAGCAAGACTAAGGGTAGGATTTGCAATTCTGTGTCAGCTTTCTAAAAGATATTTGAAAAGAAATATAATGTATTTGTGAACATAAGAAGAAAATCACATAGTAGGTCCAAATTCTGTATTTTAATTTACAGGGAACATGTAAACCGCAATTAGCTTTATAAACATACCTGGTCTCCTTTTCCCAGCCAGCAATCTGAGCTGAAGTATAGGTCTGCTGTTGATTCAAGCTGGACACCATCAGGGCTGGATGCTTCGGTGCCTACTGAGAAAACGGCAGCAGAAGTGGCCCTGTACCCACGGGCAGCAGCATGCATGTTATAGTCAGGGGCTACTTCCAAATTAAGCATTAAGGTTCAAGCCGTGGTGATTTTTCTCCTAATCACTTTCTAAACAAAAGCTGTCATGCAAATCACGGCTGGCTCTGCGTCCCGGGTGCCCGGTCGTGTTAGGGCTGGAATCCCAGAGAGCGTGCATGCTTGCTCTTTCTGCATTTTCATTAGGTCCCAAGCCAGCAGTCACTGGCTCACCACTAATTTCAACTCATTGCCTTTCAGTGTGGAGAGCGTTCTTTGAGCTGTGAAGAATTCTGACAGACTAAAAACAGGGACCATTGTCTTTTCCATGCAGATTTGCAAGAGACTTCCCTTTACCTCACATGAAACCTGGTTTAAATCTTTGTTTGCGACCTCAGCTTTTCTTTACGTTTCCTTTAGGCATTTCTTTATTCATTCATGGCAGATTCTAAAGTTTCTTTGTTTCTAAAATAAGAGTTAAATACCTACATGCAGTTTCATAACAATCAATAGTGTGGGCTACAGCTATAAATAATGTCAGGTGTGCTATGCTACTCATCTCCATCCAACGTGAGATTAAAGTTTAAGGAAGAATTTGGTGACACATTAGTACACCTTTCTGTTCTACACGGTGTGTCATCAAAATATTTGAAGATTGTGCTTATGTATGTACTTACTCCAGGGTAGGGTTTTCTTGATGTAAATAAAATAGTTTAACCACCCTGCTGTGCCTTATCGTTGTACACTTTCTTCATTTCTCTGTGAAACAGAGTGGAGGGGGGAGGAGGAAATCAATACTATATCTGATAAATTTTGCCTTCAATAGACAGAGCGCTTGGCCTTCCTGTTGCTCCTTGCTATTAAAGAAATGAAATCAATATGGCAGAAGTCTTTCCCTCCTCATAGCTGCATAGAAAAATAGCTCTGGGCATTATTTTAACGGTATAATGTTACTGTGTCGGTGTATATAAGATGACAGCTGGATTTTAAACCTGATGTCATCTCCGCTCGTTGTTGCCCATGGTGCTCAGTTTTAAGACTGTGAGCTTGGGCCTCATGGTCAGATGAGCATCCATCCACGGAAGCCCCGCCCTGTGTGCCCGTTGCAGGTGTGCACTGCGACAGCGTGTGTGCCGAGGGACGCTGGGGCCCCAACTGCTCCCTGCCCTGCTACTGCAAAAATGGAGCTTCGTGCTCCCCTGACGACGGCCTCTGTGAGTGTGCTCCTGGATTCCGAGGCACCACTTGCCAGAGAAGTAAGTGTCTCATCGGGCAAGAGTTTCCATCTTCCCTTCCCGACCCACTCGGGCAGAATGATCTCTGTTCCAACCTTAGTTCATAGTGGTATTCTTTTGCCCTGCGATTAGAGGAAATGGTGATAGGATCACTTGTCCTTTGCAAAACTGTCCTCAACAGAGCTTCCCCAGGAACTTTATTCTTTTCAACCTTCAGGACTCACCACGTCTTCCCAGTAATACTTTCACTGCCTCACGGGCACCATCACCAGGACGTGATTCTTCCTTAGACCTTGCAAATGCTGTTCTAGAAATCCACTGACCTGTGAATATTTTATGAAGCAATTTGGCATTGTCCTTCCCTCAATTACCAGAAGTCAACATCAGCCAGACCTTGAGGCAAATCATATGTCCTGCTATGTCTCAAAAACAGTGCTCTGGGAAAGCAGAATCACCAAGTTAAAAGTGGGGACTGTTGGTATTGGTCAATAGAATTCCTGAGTTAGGAAATTATCCATAACCTTTTACTAAGTCTTTTAGTAAATGCAATTGAAAAGGGATATATTATTAATTATAAAATATGCTTTTGTAAATTTTTAAATTGCCCTCTTTTTCCTATGTAGTCATCCTTCATTTAAACCCAAGTAAAGTCTTGGGAAGCACCTAAATAAGTAGCATTTTGCTTATTTACTTTCCAACCACAATTAGCAACCTGAGCCATTCGAAGGGGGAAAGATCTAATTTTGACTGTGGATCTATTTACTGCCAAAAGTGATTCTTTTTTTTTTTTTGAGACAGGGTCTCACTATGTAGTTGAGACTGAACTGGAACTCACTCTGTAGCCCAGGCTGGTCTCAAACTCACAGCAATTCTCCTGCCTCAGCCTCCCAAGTGCTGGAATTACAGGCGTGCACCACCACACTCAGCTCTAAAAATGATTCTTAAAGAATAAAGGGTGAGGGCCAGGGATTTAGCTCAGTGGTTCAGTGGCCTGCCTTGCAAGCGCAAGGACCTGAGTTCAATCAGGATTGAATCTGAGTTCAATCCCCGGTACCAAAAAAAAAGAATAAAGGATGAACACATAACTTTGGGGGCACTTATCTGAGTTACTAGAATTTAGAATTTTAATTTCTTCATTCCTCTTTCCATTCAACAAAAATTCTTTGAGCTCTGGCTTCTGCCCAGCCTTGAATTAGTTACAAGGGCCTCAAATTGGAAAATAAAGAGGACTAAGACATCTGCTTGCCCTGGAGGAGTTCAGGGTGGCTTTAGGGGCCTCTTTCCCTTATTAAACAGTGCCTTGTTCCTCTTGTCATTCTTGTTTGATGCTTGGAAAATTCTCAGTATCCTTTTTCAAAGCTTTTTTTCTTTTTTTCCTGCAAAACTTTAATGAGATCTCGATGTGGAAAATGAGAAAACTTCATCTCAGAAAGATACCTGTTGCTTTCCCTCCTTCTTTCAGTCTGCTCCCCTGGTTTTTATGGGCATCGCTGCAGCCAGACATGTCCACAGTGTGTCCACAGCAGTGGACCCTGCCACCACATCACAGGCCTATGTGACTGTTTGCCTGGCTTCACAGGCGGCCTCTGCAATGAAGGTAAGGCTTGTGAGCACTTGGGGAAGGTGAAGAGCAAGCGCTACCGTCTCTGTTTGTAGACTCCTGAAAGACATGATTTTACCCGTCGGTTCTTGATGGCTCCCGGTTGAGAGACGCGCAGCTTCCAAAATGACTGAGCTTTGGAAGCACTGGCTTGTCATGCCAGCTAGACTGCATTATCTCTGAGGCATGCAGGTCTTGAGTTTTATTTGGGGGCATCCTCCCATGAAAAATTAATTTGAGAAAGGATTTTGACCCCCTGAGTGAGAAGCCATGCAGTCGGCTTTCTAGAAATGTGACGAAGTCTTCTGACTTATTATCCTTAATGAGAGTCTTTGGCTTTGTGGGTTTATAAAATGAGCCCAAGCAGGATGAGGGGTGCTGTTGAGCAGAGAGAGGAAGCTACTACAGGGGCAGCCGGGCTAGTGATATTTGAAGTCATGTCCCGTCCTACGGCCTAGGGTCCTGTGAGATGTTTGTTGTGAGCTACTGACCCGTGGCTTCTTCACAGTGTGTCCCAGTGGCAGATTTGGGAAAAACTGTGCAGGAATTTGCACTTGCACCAACAACGGCACCTGTAACCCTATTGACAGATCTTGTCAGTGCTACCCAGGTTGGATCGGCAGTGACTGCTCCCAACGTAAGTCTTGCTGCAGAACAACTGAACCATGATTCTTTGTTTTCAAGTGCCTTAGAATTAAAGCATGAGTGTTTGTACAACCAAGAAAGGAACTATGACCAGTTACAGATTGCATTCTAGTTTTTAAATTCATTTCTTTCCACTGTGTTCTTTGCAGTGAGTCTAAGGATAAATCCAAATGTGATGGAAAGAACCTAAGTAACCAACATTTTGTTAACTTCCTTTTCAATGGTTCGCTGTCCATTGAAGTGCAATTAGAAGTCCGCCTCTACATTGTGCATTTATCTAGAGTTAATTCAGAGGAGTTAAAAAGCAGAACGTAAGTGATGTGAGCCTGAGACACCTGCTCTGTCTCCCAAGCACAATGCCCACCTTCCTGCAGTTCACAGCAGGTGCTTGCTGTGCTGCTGAGTCGGACCAGAGCTGTGTCTGAGGAGCTACACAGGCGACTTTTAGAGTCACCAGGATCACGAGAAGATGACACTGACCAGAAGTCACTGGTTTAATTCTGTGAAAGAGTCAGTACAACTTCTAAAAGTATTCAGCTTTTGACCGTGGATAGTCTGTGTCCTGTACAGGGAAAATCTGGATCTGGTCATTGAAAATGTCATAGTACCTGCTCCATTCCTATTTGAATCCCCCTATCCAGCACATAAAAGAACAAAGAAGAGCTACATACTGATTTTACATTGTGATTGGTCATTTAATTCAGACTTCACATTTATAATTGATATGCAAGAACTTTTTAATGAGTGGAGTATTTTCTTGAAGATTTGCTCTGATTGTTAGGTTTTGCTTGATCTGTTCAGGCTTTGCACATTTGTCAGGAGTAGGAGGCAGAGTTCACTGATCTGGACGGTGTAGCTCTCTGGAGAGGGATTAGTGGGTGGAATTCCGCAGTGCATTTCACTCTAGATGGGGGGCATCATCTCGGACATAACTGCAGTCCGTTTAAATCTGTGTGCGTTACAAGGGTCTGTGGTTGAGGTTGACATACAAACAGCTCAAGGGATAGGCACTAAAATTGAACTATAGGGTTTGAGGAGGAAAAATAAAAGACCCAGTGTTGCTGCCATTGCGTGATTGATGTATTTTGCTCCTATTAAAGGTGCCCCTTGTTTTGGAAGTTGGTCGCTTCCACATTTGGAGAAGGAACGTGCTGGAAGGAACAAAAATGGGAGCATTAGTATGAACGGAGATGACAGTGCTGCCTGTCCCATAATCACTCCAGAGGAGGTCGATTTATTTGGCAAAAGACTTTCCTTCACGTGGGGGTCATTGATTTCGCTGTTTTCCTTATGAATTCTGTGCAGCCATCTTAATAGCTCTTGGCTGATTGTCAACCTGTCTAAAAAGAGAAAAGTGAAAAGAATGACTTTGAAAATTAAAGGCATGCATTTAAAGGCTAGGCAGCCTTGGCAAAATACATTTTTTTTTTTTTTTTGGTTTTTTGAGACAGGGTCTCACTATGTCATTGAGACTGACCTGGAACTCACTATGTAGTCCAGGCTGGTCTCGAACTCACAGAGATCCTCCTGCCTCAGCTTCCCGAGTGCTGGGATTCCAGGCGTGCGCCACCACGCCCGGCTGGCAAAATATATTTTTAAAGCCCCAATTCTACATTTGCCTTTCAGGAATATAAAAATTTTGTGATTCGAATGCCCACTCTCTAATCATAACTAATTAGCATAGCAAGTGAGGCCTAGTACAAGTAGTTGCCTTAGCATCCATCATTCTTTGCCTTATCTATTAATTTATTTTTATAGCATTTATCATCATTGTTTTTTTCAGTTGGTTAGTTGATTGGTTGACCTCCTCTACTAAAATACAAGCATTCAGAGAAGAGTTTAGGCTTTGTCTTGTGCTCTCCTGTCTACTCTGTGCCTAGTGCAGTGCCAAGAACAGTGTGGGACACATGGAAGGTGTTGCATGTGTGTTTGTGTAAGAACTGAACCTGTAAGCCCGGGACGATTCTTGCTCCATTGCCAAACTCTCCAGTTGTAAGCTAACATGTATGCCAGTCGTGATGGTCGTTGATGAGGTCAAATTGCCTTGTGGGATTTTATGTAGAACTCGGATTTCTGCACAAAACCGTAAGCCTCGTGTGTTGCTTAGTCCTGATGTACTCTGGTAACCTCCCTTACGCAAGGAGATGGGTAGGGGGCGTTGGAACTCCGCGTGGTGCCCGCCCCAGAACCTAACACACTTCTCCGTGCTTACTGTGGTTTCAGCCTGCCCACCTGCGCACTGGGGCCCAAACTGCATCCACACTTGCAACTGCCACAATGGAGCCTTCTGCAGTGCCTACGATGGCGAATGTAAATGCACTCCTGGCTGGACGGGGCTCTACTGCACTCAGAGTAAGCCTTGGGCCTTCTGAGTCTCATTTTGGGGCGCCACACCCACGGAGGAAGCAGCCTCACACCTCGCAGGCGTTAGCTGGGCTTACCAGGGGGTTCTGGAGCGGACTCTTCATCTGCACAGTGGCCTCTATCTAGGCGTCTGAATGGTTATGAATGGTTAAGACCCACTGCCTTCCACGCATTCTGTCTCCAGATCAAATAAGGACGCTGAGGTGGAAGCAGTGATACGTGGTGGGGTATGATTTCTGTCTCTTCACTCTTTTGACTCCATCCTATTTGTATGGATGAAATTCCGTATCATTTATTCTAATAGCAGATAGGTTAAGGTAAGGAAGGTTAGAAAGGCAGTGAAGACAGCGAGACTCCCTGCCAAGCGAGATGGACGGTTGGAGGTGGACTTCTCAGACTCCAGCAGGGGTCACAGTCACCTGCCCAGAGAAAGCAGTGTATACAGCATGCTGCTCCCTTCCCAGAGTGTTTGATCCAGGGGGTCTACGCTGGGACTTATGCATTTGCACTTCTGTCATCTGGCGGCAGTGTCAACCCAGGACGATGCTTTGAGAAGTACAGCTATAGTTATTTTCCCTGTTTTGTATCCCATACGGTCCTAACCATTTTTTCCATGACCCTTTCAGCATCATAGGATATAATGCGCAAATTTTTCCACAGCTGAGCACCACCTGGGGGAAAAAATTTGCTCCTTTTTCTTTTAACTGAATAAAATGAGACCAGAAAGAAACATGTATTACGCATATTATTATTTATAACATATCATTTAAAATTTTAGTAAGGGCTGAAGAGGAAAGATGGATCAGAAATTAGGTAATTCTTATTTAATAGTAATAAATGAATATAGTTAAAGGATAGTCTGAGCAAGACTTTTGGAAATTTCTAGAAGGGAGGGGAGGCGTTGATCCAAGATTTGAAAGGGAAAATTGGCGAGGAAAAAGGTCGTCTCTGGCATATTTTCCAGAGATTGTATACCACTAAAGACTCCTTAAATAACTCCTTAGAGAAAAGTACTTGTAAGATATTGTTTGAGATTCTAAAATTAGGGCTTGCTTCAAACAGAAGACCTTTTAAAACGGACAGAACACGATGAAAGTAGAAACCACATGGGGTCTGGAGACAGATTGCCCTGTGTTGCATTGTGCTGCTGCCTTCCTGCCATTTGCTAGTGTGTATTAGAGCACTCAAGACTGTGTTCCTATCTATAAGATGAGAATGTCCATCCCTTTGCTTCTGGGCTGCCGTAAAGCTGAAATGAGGGAATGGAGGAATCTGGCACAGAGGAGGTACCAGATAGACAAATGTCACGGGGGATGCCATTGTTTGCTGGCATCTGTGTTCTGCCTCTGCTTGTTAAAAGTTGGGTTTTCTTTAGACTTCACCACTGGAAAACAGGAAAATAAAAGGATGTGGACTGTTGGGGAACAACCATTGAGTCAGCCTCTATCTTTGCTTTATTACGCCAGAGAGCCCTGAAGCTCACTTGCAGGCAGCTGCCAGTCCATGTAAAACGACAGAGTTTGTGCATGTCTTTAGCGCAAGGGTCCTTGGGGTTTAAGCCTTGGAAATCATTCAGCAGTGTGACGACTTACTGCTTTTTTCAAAGCACCTATGAAGCATAGTTTTTGCTTTTGAGGTAAATACTCTACCACAAGTCTTTGGTGGAGGTGGTAATACCACTGAATTGGGGCTGGGATTTAGCTCAGTGGTTCTCCCACCTGTCTTGCAAGGGCAAGGACCTGAGTTCAATCCCTGGTACAAAAAAACAAAAACAAAAACAAACAAACAAACAAACAAACAAAAAAACGAACATCCAAAAATCACTGAATGTACTAATGGGTGCAGCAGACAAGTCTGGTAGCAGAGTAGGAGGCATCCTCTACTGCAAGCAAACGCATAGAGACTATTTTAATATAAATTACTCATCTCAGTCTAGGGAATTTGAGTCCAGGATTCTAGTAGTTGAATGAAGGATGAAAGAAAATGCCCAGAGTTCCCAGGCTTCAGGGCCTGCTTTGCAAGACACCAGTCTCACCGCTCGGGTACCAGTGATGGTTACACTGACTGGCACAGAACTCTTCTGCCTCCCACTTGTGGATTGCCATCTTCCCTCAAGGCCCTATATTTGGACCTCTGGGAAGCCCACAACCAGCTGAGATGTGCACTTCCATCTTTGTTGTCCAGTGGCTCAGCATCCTTCAAGTTTAAACACAAATATGCTGGAGGCTGGAGCTGTGTTTCTCTCCAGGGCCTTCTGACTTCTGCTGTCCCCCCCCCCCGCACAGGATGCCCTCTGGGGTTTTATGGCAAGGACTGTGCGCTGATATGCCAGTGTCAGAACGGAGCCGACTGCGACCACATCTCCGGGCAGTGTACCTGCCGCACGGGATTCATGGGCCGGCACTGCGAACAGAGTGAGTATGGAGCCCCACGTCATTGGGTGCTATTTTCCCCCCTTTAAAAACAATTCTCCTAGATTTCTGGAAATATTAAGGCACAATTACTGCAACTGTTGAGTTGTGTGTACCAGCACAGTGGAGCACTCCCCTCTGGAGCCCCTGCTGGCTGTCTTTCTCTCCAGATATTTCTTAGCAATTTAATTGCTCAGCACTGGGTGGAGGAGGTGTAAATGCTAGGGGGAAGACAGAATTCAAGTTTTCCACTCTGTTCTTTCTGGCTCTCCTTTCTTTACTCTATTTTTGGAACATGGCTGCTGAGAAACAGTCCAGATTTCTTCTTCACAGAGGGGAGTCCAGGTTTACTGTAGAGAACAGAGCCTTAGGTGGGGAGGAGGACTGGGGGCCCAGAGTCAGCACTGGTGGCTGGTGTGGGACCAACTCCATGCAGAACTGCCACCCTCTGACAGCCTTTTCTAGCAGAACTTTTATACTGTTTCCAATAAGAGCTCCTCGTCTTAGTCCTGACCGTCACAATCACCTTAAAGACTTTTTTCTTCAAGCCTATTCACAGACAACATGCTTATATGGAGTTTTCCGCCTTTGTTTTTCTATTTCCACTCACCTGCTATGTATCTGCTCACAGCGTTAGCCTTAAAATGAGTGTTTCAGATGAGCTTATTGTTGCTTTCCTCCATGACTTTCCTTCAGTGAACAAATAAGGTTGTCAGCTGTGAGGGTCTCACTGGCTTGTGGTAAAAGCTGTGGAGGCAGGAGAAGCTTCCAGAGGGCGTACACTTGAGAAGAGTGCAGCAAAGTCCAGTGCACAGCGTGGACAACCAGAGCAGAACAGAGGGTGCCGACGGAGCACCCCTCTCTCCACCCCTCCAGTGCCTCAGAGCTCTTGGGTGTCCAAGTGGTGTCAATCTTGCACGCTAAACACCTTTGAAAGTCTTCCCGCTAGCAAGTGCACCAAGAGTGATCCCCAGGAATTAGCTCAGACAGACAGATCCCAATGATAGCTTTGTATTGCTTTTTCATTGAATTTTAAAACAGTTCTGAGTCACACGATCACACACACAGCTCTCCTTACGCATTTAAGTACTGCCTTTGTGTGTATAAGTGTGTACACAGGGGCACAGAAACCAGAATAGTCTCCAACCTGGCTTTCCCTTGAATGTCAGATTACTCATTAAGTTCTTACTAAATAAAAATTGTCTTCAGTGCATCTACGATTACTCTGGATATCAAATTTGTCTGTATTTTTGAAGGTATTTCCCAATGTTCTTCTGTAAACAGACACCCCACCTTTGTCAGAGCACTCTGATAATAATATGTTGCCCCCTGCTGCTCACTTTATGAAAAACACCAGAATTTTGTCAGGAATATTTTTAGATTGAGTGTACCTATGCTATTCTTTGACATTCCTGGGCAACTCTCATTTTGTAAAAATCCTTCTGTTTTAGTCTCTGACACTCCAACCTGCAAATCCAGAGTCTGAACCATTGTAGAGCAAACAAAATTCTTATCTAGAAAGTAAACAAAACTTACCCTTCTCCCCCTCTTCACCTACTCCCAGCCAATCTAAGTGAGAATGTGTTTTTACGAGCACCCCTGAGCCCATAGTAAATTATGTGTGCTCTTAAGGAAGCATTTCTAGTTAAAATTTTTAGTCTAGTTTACTCCCAGCCCACAATTTTGCCTGCTGGAGTCATCTCAAATAGCTTTTCCTGATTATCTCTACCTGTTCTGTGGGAGTTCCACAAACTCCGTATGCATCAGTGAAGTGGGTGTACAGCTGTCCATGTGACAGGAGCTGTAATATTGAGCCACACAATCTCTAGCCCTGTGTACCCTGGCCTGAGAGCCTCATCCTGACACAGGGAAGCTGTGCCTCTGAGGGACACCATGGCGGAACCAGTCTGCCTAAACAGGAACCCCCGAAAGGTCTCACCTTCAAATGTGCAGGGACATACAGCAAGAAACAGGTCCCCAAGCCTTGAAAACTACATTTACTTAATCTCCTTCTCCAGAGTGCCCTGCAGGAACATATGGCTATGGCTGTCGCCAGATATGTGACTGTCTGAATAATTCCACCTGTGACCACATCACCGGGACCTGTTACTGTAGCCCAGGATGGAAGGGGGCACGGTGTGATCAAGGTAAGGATGTTAGGTATAGTGACGGCTGCCTCTTCTTTGTGACCACCATGTATCCAAGTTATGTGTGTTTGTGTATGTGATGTAGTGCAATCTTCATTACAGTTCTGTGTGGCATAACTGGCTACTTATTTAGTTGCAGGTAGATGCCTTAGTGTTGCTGCCCTACAGATAAAGAAACTGAAGTTTAGAGAGATTATATAATTTGCCCAGGGTCGCATGGCTACTATTTAAACTTTGTCATGCTTTGACGATAGATTTCTCTTATTTCAAAACTCATGAATTGCCTATTGAGCCTGTGATTTTTTCAGCTTTATTGGTATATAATTAACAAGCAACAAACATAAAGTAAACAGTTTGATAAATTCTAAAATATGCATGAGCTCCTGATGCCTTGTTGTAATTATAACAATATTCACCTCCCAGTGAGTTTCCTCATATCCCTTCCAGCCATTACTATCTCTTAGACCCCTGTAATCTCTGATCTGCTTTTTGTCACTATACATTAGTTTGCATTTTCTAGAACTCCACATAAATAGAATCATATTGTACTCCTCTATGTCTGGTTTTGTTCAGTCAGCATGATTATTTTGGAATTGAACCATGTTGTTTTATAAATAATTTTTTTTTTGCTAAGAACTACTGCATTTATGGATATACCATAATTTGGTGACTCATTCAGATGTTGGGGAACATTTGGATTCCCATCTTTGGCTATTACAGATTAAGAGCTTGGAGTGATTTAGTTCAACAAGAATGTACTTGTCTTTGTATGTCATGTGCTTTAATTTCTTTTGGGCAAATATCTAGTAAATATCTAGAACAATTGAGTCATGTGGCAGGCATATGCTTAAAATTTAAATAAATTTCACCCCTTGGTCTTTAAGTAGGTTTTAAAGTAGGATAATTGTCTGTGAGTATTTCTCATATACATAATCTCAATTGGGCAATACTGCAGGTGGGATGGATGGAGGCTTTGAAAATGTATTTTTCCTGGGCCTGAAGCTGCCATTCAAGGATAGCAATAAGCAAGTGAGCAATAAAAGGCTTAAGAAATTTTTTACAGTATTGTAGGGGGAGTCATCTTAAGCCAAAATCCATATATCACATATAAAACATTTAAATTCTTTATACCATTTTGAACTCAGGAATTGGTATACTGGAGAGCAGCAGAGAAAAGGCTGCTCAGTGCCTTGATGAGAATTGAAGATCACTGGGTGAACAAAAAGTTGCTTCAGTAAAGGCACAGCAGGCTGCATCTGTTGAAATGAGAAGGCACATAAACAGGTCTCAAAATGAGATTTGCAGATCACCTAAGGCAACACCAAAGAAAAAAAAAGATGGAACAATCTGACACTCAATCTCCTGGATCACTGAACTGCCAATGAAAGGGGATCTGGAAAAAATGAAATCAGAAATAATTTTTCAGATAACAGCAGATATTGCACCAATAGTGCAAGATACAATTAATAAATCTAGAGAAGACACAGATTTTTAAAAAAAGAGGAGCTGAGAAACATGGTGGAATCCCAACACAGGAAATAAATGGAATCCATAAAACAGATGCAAACAGATTTCAAGAGATTAAAAACCCCATTGAAAGTTTACGCGACACAATGAGCCAATGAGTGGACAGAATTTCAGATATAGGAGATAGGATTGCAATTAGTGAGCAGAAACAGAAAAAATTCTTCAAACTAGTAAGGGACCATGAGAAATCAGTGCAGAAGCTGCTATATGATGCAAAGAAGAACAATGTAAGACCGATTGTACTCAATGAAGAAACAGAAGACAGCGCAGATGATATAAAAAAAAAAACCTGTTCACAGAAGTAATGGCAGAAAACTTCCCAAGCAGGGGGAAAGAACTTGACATACAGATGAGTGAGGCATATACTTTCACAAGATTTTGTAGACAAGGTTTTATTTTTTTTATTTTTTGGTACCAGGGATACTGTATACTCTCAGGTCCTTGCGCTTGCAAGGCAGGCGCCAGAACCACTGAACTAAATCCCCGGCCCTTTTTTCACAAAATAACTTCTGCATGCTTGTTATTTGTATTTGAATGTAATCACAATTAGGTGTTATGTTTTTTGGTTGTATAATTGTTACAAATGCATTGTAATCTCACTACAATAGTCTCAGTGCTCTCATCTTGGGGCAGACTGTTCTTTAACAAGATCTTCTACAGTTAAAAATCATAAGACCATTGGGATATTTATTTGAGCTAAAAGCAGCTATATGAAGGTATTTTTCTCTTATATAGATGATGAATCAATAGCTTCAGAGCTTTAAGAAAAGTTCAGATGCTTAATTTCTTGACTTTTGATTGTATGTTTAGCTTCTTCACTTAATGGAAATGGAATCTTGAGTTTAATTAGTAAGGGTGCAGGGTGATAATCAGGTATTTTCAGGAGGAATATTAACGTACTGAAAAATAACTTTTGACAAAACAATGTCTACTGAGGTTGAAAGCTCACTGGAATGAGATAATGAACTAGATTTATAATAGTTATCTTATTTGGAAGGACAATCACTCTTAGAAATACTAAGGATAAACTTAAGATTAAGTTAGACAGTTGGACATTTAGCATTTATGCCTGTATGCTCTCAGTACTGAATAGTAAGTAAAGCAAAATAAAAATTAGATAATTATCCCAAATTAGTCATCTGTCTGAGTGTTTAATTTGAAGTCTATGAGAAGGTTTTAAATTCTACTGCTGAATCTTGTGCTCAAATCTTATCCTTTCTCCTGGAATAGACAAGTGAACATCTGAAAATGTAGAATGTTTGTTTTTCTTTCTTATTCCATTTCCAAATTAACATTTCGTGAACCAATAATATCCAGGTATTATTACAGTAGGGGAATTTTTGTAAATAGAGATCAAACACTTATCCAGAGCACTATCATTCTTACTCGGTCTCTTCCTCCTTTATCCTAGCTGGCGTTGTAATCGTCGGAAACCTGAACAGCTTGAGCCGAACCAGCACTGCCCTCCCTGCCGATTCCTACCAGATTGGCGCCATCGCAGGCCTCATTACCCTTGTTCTTGTTGTTCTCTTCCTCCTGGCGTTGTTCATTATTTATAGACACAAGCAGAAGGGGAAGGAGTCACGCATGCCGGCGGTTACCTACACCCCTGCCATGAGGGTCATCAACGCAGATTACACCATCTCAGGTGAGCCTGGGGTCCTGGGAGGCTGCCAACTCCTTGGAAGGTGAGGCTTCCTTCTGCTTTCTTTGAAATTGGGTGTTTGGCTCTGCTGCCCCTTGTCTCTGTCAGTTCTCCGGGAGAGTACTGCTTATTCAGAAAAGGTACAAATTGTTAGAAATGTGTTTTACATCTCAACAGATCGCCACTGTCATCTTCTGTGAGGATTATAAAAGGGGCCCCACTGTGAGATTGCTTTGTACCTAGGGATTTTATGCTGCGCTGTACACTGAGTACATGAGGAGGGAGGGTAGGAGCAGGGGCTCCCGTTTTGCAAGGTCGCGGAGCAGATCAGGGAAACAGATAGAAACTTCTGTCTCTGGCCTTTGGTGCTTCCTTCAGTGCCTCCAACCTTTTCCTGAGCCAGAGCAAGTCAAGAAATTGATCTTTTTGTATTACAGTAATCGAAGGAGTCCTTTAAGAAAGCTCTTTTGAATCTTCCTGTCACAAGTCCCATAAAAGAAAAAAAGATTGTGGCACATTCAATCATTTGAAGAAGTAACCACTGAAACTGAAGAATTTGAAAAGTTAAGATCTTTGTTAATTGCAATTACTGAAAGAATTCAGGCTGCTTACATATTTATACATATTATGATTTGGGGGGATATGTAAAATAGCTAACTTAAACAGTTGGATATTTGCAGTGCAAAATTATTGTATCAAGATATCAAATGACCTTTTTAAAGAGGACAGTGACTGCAGAAGTAACTTCAAAGGATGCCACCCACTCTTAGATACCCCAAGCTAGGAGTAGTCACTGAACGCTCTCACACTTTTCAAGGAGGCAGGTAGAAGGGCCGATACCTGCTGCTTCTAGGAGCTTTGCTGTATGAGCTGCACAGGATGGGGTGTCGCCTAAGCTTGCTATGTAGAAGTAGTTCAAAAGTTTGTTCTCTTGTTTTGATTTCTTCTTCCCCACATGGATTTTGGGGAGCCTTCCATCTTAACCATATCCTTCCCTTCTTGCAGAAACCCTGCCCCACAGCAATGGTGGAAATGCCAACAGCCACTACTTCACCAATCCCAGTTATCATACACTTACCCAGTGTGCCACCTCCCCTCGGGTTAACAACAGGGACAGGATGACCATCACCAAGGTAGGAGGAGATTGCTCAAGCCTTAGAAGGTGGGGTAGTTGGCGGGTGGGGAAGCAAAGAGCCAGCACGTGATGAGGGCTGCTGTTTGCCAGGTGCTGCTCTCGGTACTTTACATAATATCGCCTACTTGGTTCCTCGAGACAGTGCTCGGTGTGCATCACAGCATCTCAAGGGTGCTGATGTAGATCGGAGTAACAGGGAATTTCGGCCACTCCAAAGCCCTGGCCTCTCTGAGTGAGATGGCTGCTGTGTGAGTCAAGTCTTCCTGTCTGTGCAGTCCATACCATTTGCATTACACCTCCTTGTAAAATGTTTAAAATTTAACCTGAGAATTTACAATAACATCTCAAAAGGGCATTCATAAAAATATAAAGGCGTTATCACAAAATCAGCCCTGTGTGAAACCATCAAGTTTGTCTTTTCCGATCACATCTTCTATTACCCTTTCCTATTTGGATTTGAGTAATAGTAATAACAATATGCACCTTATCTAGGCTGAGCAGGATAAAACTGATATTTTTGTAGGTTAAAGCTGGCCAACAAGCTGATCACTTTACAAATATGAAATCATTGAATCTTCGTGCCAGTCAGGAGTGGTTACAATTCCCGTTTTACAGATGAGGAAACTGATGCACACATGGGTGAGAGACCCATCTTGGGCTGCACCTCAGTTCCTTCCCATAGTGTTCTGAACCCCAAACATTTCTCCCTTCCAGTTGTACCCCAATTATATTTTCAGTTTTCTGTGAGTGGCTCCCCATTTTCCAAATATCCATTAGAATAAAACCAAGTAATTAATTTAATCCCACTGTGACTAAATTAATGCAAGATTTTAATTATGGTGCCTCACTGTTAAATAGCACTTCGTATTATCCAGAGATGCTGATATTCACCAGGCCATTTGTTCTCATCATAACCAGGAAGGAAGGTGAACTCAATCATCTTGCCCTCATTTTGGTGCTCTGGAAAACTGCTGAGTTACCTAGACTCACAGTAGATCATATGGATTTTGACAAGAAAGCTTAGACCAACAATTTATTTTTCCTTCAACTCAAAGATCCACATATATAAGCATAAATAGAGTTTAATTGACACAAGGTAACAGCGAAATGAAGAAATTCAGATTGTGAAAGGTACAGATGGCCTGAGGGACCTGCGTTCCTTCTACCCTGCAGAAAAAGTCACTTGCGCTCCTTGCTCAGCCTCTGTGAGCTATGGACTTGATTTCCCCAGACAGTAACACAATACTGTACCACACTGTACTCAAATTTTAAATGTTTTCTCATTTGTGTTTTTAATAGTCAAAGAACAATCAACTGTTTGTGAATCTTAAAAACATGAATCCTGGGAAGCGAGGCCCAGCTGTGGACTGCACGGGGACACTGCCGGCAGACTGGAAACATGGTGGTTACCTCAATGAACTCGGTGTGTTCCCCTGCCTGACCCAGAGCACACCTGTACCTTCTCCTCACCCAACATGGTTACAGAGCTGTGTCACCATGGTCTAATGCAAACATGCACCAAAAAGCAAGATTGAATCACACCTGACACCTACTACAGGGTTTACTTCTATCCTGAGGGCTTTATCTGTTCAAGGGACAGTCACTGAGCTCCTGCTATCTGCCAGGAATGGATTAAGAGACAAAGATCTCTGCCTGCTTGTAGCTTACATTCAAGCTCTTGAACTTCCTTAATTTCCACAAGTACTGTTCCTTAGCAGGTAATATTATTAGAGTACTAGAATTATCAACATCTCCATGTGACAGTTGAGAAATGAACCATTAAGAGCTTGAGTAACTTGCACAGACCTGGTGGGCTGTTAAAAATTAGGCTGGCATTTGAACACCGGCAGCATGATGCCAGATTGTAGGCTTCTCTTCATTGTTTGTTTTTGTTTTTGTTTTGTTTCTGAAGCAAGGTCTGGCTATGTAGGTCAACGTTGGCCTTATTTTCACTGTGTAGTCCGGATTGGCCATGAATTCTTGGCAAGCCTCTTGCCAGCCTTTTGAGTGCTTCTTTGTTCTTTCTTAGTATCAGGTATCACACTTCACATTGATTCCTTTTTGGATGAGGCAATAGAGGTATCAACAGGCATGTAGATTAATGGTCCTCAAACTTTTAAGAGTCAGGATCCCCTGATGTTCTAAAAAATTGTTGAAGAGCCCAGCATGCTTCTATTAATATAAGCCATATATTTACCATATTACACATTAAAACTAAGAACATTTTCAAATAATTAATCATAAACTCATTCAAGATAACAAAAAACATGTTATGCAAAAATAACCACATTTTCCAACCCCCCCTAAGAATCAGTAGGAAGGGTAGCATTAGCTTACATTTTTATAATTTAAATTTTAAAAAATATCTGGCTTTATAAAAATATCTGGATGCTCATGTCTGCTTCTGTGTCCAGTCAGCTCTGATCTCACACTCCACTGTACATGTAAAGGGAATTAGAGGAGTGAAAAAGATAATGTCATTATTTTATTCTGAAAATAGCTGTTATCATGAGGTGCTCCTGAAAGTGGGGAGGGGTACCTTGTCCACCGTTAAACCACAGTGCTATACCAGTGAGTAAGTGGCATTATTTCCAAGTGTGTGGTCTTTAGTTTCAGGGAGGCATTTGAAGATGTAACCAATAAAATATATGCCTTCTTAATAGCAATCTGATTTTCAGACAAACAACAGTTTCATATAAATGTGTCAGAAATTACACATGAAACATACACTAAAAATTATTCATGTTTTGTTAAGCTTCAAATTTAACTGATCTTTCTGTGTTTTTATTTGCTAAATCTGGCAGTTCTGTTGGGCAGACTCTCACTAATCTTAACTGAAAAGTGTATAAATTGAAAGCTTGGGGAGGTTAACTCTCCTGTCTAAAGCTTCACAGAAGAAAAGGGGTAAAGCCAGTTCTCAAAGTTGGCCTTCTGACTGCTTATCTTTGCCTCTTCTGTGAGCGCCATGAATGTCAAATTTCCCCTGCCAGACATGGGAGCTAATCCACTTGGACTCTGAAATGCCTCTTACTGTAGAAACAGAGATGTTTCAGTAGAAAAGTGAATACAGCTTTTCCCCCTTCCAGAGGTACAGCTGATATTTCATGGTCCACCTCTCCTCCATAAATCACTTTGTTAGTCTGGTGTAGACCTTGGCCCCCAGGTAAACAAAAATATCTATTGGACAGGATATTCCACGGATTTAGGGATCACCTTCTAGGAGTTGAAGGCAAAGGCCAGATCTTTTTTTGGTAAAACTATTTCCTTACTATAAACACCTCATCCTATCTCCCAGTATAACCCTGTGCCTTTCTCACCAACTGGGAGCTCTTCACAACCCAGGACCCAGGGAGTGTTCCTGAGAGAGGAAAATATTACAGTTTCCTGTCCCATGGTGTTTAGTAGCAGACACACCTTCTTGCTTTAGGGGAGTCACCTTCTTTCTCTGCCGAAGCGTGGTTTCCTCAGTGGCCTAACAATCTCCAATACTTGTTCACATGCTCATCACAAGCTATTACTCTCTGCTCTTAACATACATCTGTAAAATTCCTTTAAAAGATTGTCAAGAAAACCTGGGAATGCTCACAGATTGTTTGAAGCTGAAGGTGGTATCACACACTCCGTGTTACCACTCCTTTATAGATTGCTTCCGAGTTCACAAAGCCTTTCTGCGTGCTCTATTTCATTTAGTGATGACAACCATTGCTGTAAGGCTGGAAGGCAGTTTGTATTCCCTGTTTAGAGATGAAAATTGACACTCAGAGAGTTGAGTATCTAGCCTGAAGTCATATGGGTAATAAGTTGTTTGTCTCCTGATCTACTGTCTTTTCTTCTTTGTCATAACACATCTCCAGCAGAATCCTTGATTCTTGTTTAACATAAACAATGTAATTTAGCACTTACACACCAGTTGGTGTAAAATGGGCTACATAATAACCTGTAATTTTTTGATAATACTATAAATTTGTGACAAATGGGTTTATAATATGATATATATTAAGAGTTGCGATTATAAGCTTATTTTATTTAAGATGTTTGTGCCTTTCCTGACTTCAGTAAGTGATTGCATATTCTCACTGCCAACATACTTCATTTTTCCCAATGTGAGCAGAAATATTTCTCCTCTGACCACCCCCACGATCACTACCACCAAATAACAGGCAGATTTTTTTTTCCTTTAAGTTTATTGGTACATTTTAGGTATACGATAAAGTTACATTCATTATTGGGATCTTGTACCTTCACATGATGTATCTTGGTTTTTACTTTTTCCCCGTCCCCCTGCCTTCCCTTCACCCCCTCCACCCTTCCCTATTTATGAAGACTTTGTTTCCATTGTTTCCTTTTTCCTTCTTTCCTTTCCCCTAGCCCTCCCACCTCTCCTACTCCTTTAGACCTTTTCTTCCCATTTCACATTATCAATTAAAAAGGCACATATTTTAAAACAACAAAGCCACCTGTTTTATCTATTCAGGCTCATATCTTTTTCATATCTGAAAAAGTCAAATTGTTAAAAGCTGAATAAAAATGGTCAAGATCTTATATTGGCCTCTAAAGCGTTAATCAGCAGTGTTTGTGGCTTGCTGCTTTTAGAAAACATGCTTATAGCAGAGGCAGTAATACCACTGAATAGTAGTTACTGGGAAAGCAATTTGAAAATCACCAGAGCCTTGAAAGAGCTGCCCTTGATTCTGAGTTCTCAGTTCCAGTCTTGACTGGGTCTTCTCTGCTGTACCATGTACGGTGATCTGTCTCTCCCTGTGCCTCAGCTTTCCCTGTGAACTGATCATCCTTTTGCAGTCCTTGTAGATGATCAGATGATATATGTCCCTGTTCACTATGCATTTGAGTTTAGTTCTGAGCACCAGCACATCTGGCACAAGAGTTTGAATAAAGGTTTGAAAGCAGAAGGCCTTGGTTGTTCTCTGCACTGCACAGATCCTCATCCACAATCTTGGAGCATTGGATAGATTTGCTCCTCATTTCAGTTCTTATGGGTGTTTTCCTTCCTTTATCACAGGTGCTTTCGGACTGGAGAGAAGTTATATAGGAAAATCCTTAAAAGGTATGGCATAAATTTGAGGAGGAAATAAGTACATCAGAATCACAATTTAAAAAATTATCTCAGAGACCAAAATAACTTTTTAAACAAGCACAAGTGGCAGGGCAATGGTAATGTAGAAGTGTCTGTGAGGTGTTACTACACTAATACACAGACACATTCGATGACATCAAGAGAGTGACCATGGGTGGATCTTATTAGGGCAAAAGTCTTGGAGACAAAGGTTTCAGTTTGGGGAGGAAATAACTCTTGGTTTATATGGAGAGAAAAATGTAAAGTAGGAAGAGTATGGTGTATTGGGTCAGCTTTTCCTGGCTGAGACAAAATACCTGAGAGCTGCAATTTAATGGAGGAAAAGCCTTCATTTGATTCATGGTTTCGGAGGTCTCAGTCCATGGACCATAACAGCTGCAAGGCAGAATGGTGTGGCCGAAGGGTATGGTAGAAGAAGAAGGCTGCTCAACTCATGGCCTCCAAGAAACAGAGGAAGAGGGGAGAAGGAGACAAAGAGCGAGAGAGCGAGTGAGAGAGAGAAAGAGAGAGAGAGAGAGAGGACGAGAGACTCATCAAAGGCATTCCCTCAGTGACCTACTTCCTCTAAGCAGGCCCTAGCTAACAGCACATTCAGCTACAAACTCAGCAATGGATTAATTCAGTGATTAAAGTCAGTGCCTGTGATCTAGTTACCCTCCCAAAGACCCAGCTTTGCAACATGAGTAGGGGGGGTATTTTTAATCCAAACTGTAATACAGGGGAAATCAGCAGATTATGTGGTGATGGTCTGCACTTTGGGATGAGTTTAAATAAGTTTCTTGGTGCTAAAGCTTTATAGGGAGGCATCACCACACAAATGTCTTTCTCATGATTATAGTAGAACCCCTCTTGTGCTCCTGAGGTCATCAACTGCCAGTTTCTAGACTGAAAATTCAAAGGTTTCAATTAGTAAATTTTCTATTAGTGAAACAAAATGGGATTAGTTATATTTGAATATGATCATCAAAATTAAATCAGATCCATGGTGTTTTCATTAGTATGTCCCTTAGAGTGGAGCTAAAATTACTTTATATGTAGGTTATTTGACAGAAAATTGTCTCCAAAATAAGTAGAAAATGGATGGCATTATTTTCAGTAGATGGTTGTAGAAACCTAGCTGTAAAGGAAAAAAGCAACCTACCTAAATAAATTATTACCCAAAAAAGATGTTGCCCATGAAAAAGCATTTGTTTTTTTCCCCCTCCAACTCTTTTCACAGATCTGGGGAAGAATTCTGAATATAACTCAAGTAACTGCTCCCTAAGCAGTTCAGAAAACCCATATGCCACTATTAAAGACCCACCTGTGCTTCTCCCTAAAAATTCAGAGTGTGGCTATGTGGAGATGAAGTCACCTGCGAGAAGAGATTCCCCATATGCAGAGATCAATAACTCGACTTCAGCCAACAAGAATGTTTACGAAGTTGGTGAGTCCTGCTAACCATAGACTTATCTAATTGTAGGGGGAGTGCTTTTAAATGGCCAATGTTTTAGATCTAATCTATACTTACAATTTAATTAATATAAAATGATTTTTTCAGAGAAAATATCACTCGGGAATTTTAAAGTAATTTTCCTTAGCTTCCACGTGGTCACCATATTTTGTTTTATAACCCTGGTAAATATTCCAACACGTGTGGAGTTGCATGTGTATCATATTAGCTAATATACAGAGCTAGCCAAGATGAATGCGTCAAGTGGATTAACCAGGTGGTTCCATTTCCTGGTCATTCACTATATTGATATGATACTCTTAGCAGAACCGGAACATTTTATGTTAAACCTCTCTAATATATCTGTAATATTTTCAGAGATAAATCTGATGCCAATTAGTAAGAATTCAACTTAGAATTATAGTTGTATTGATTGTCCTTTGTGAATATCCGTTGTGAAAAGAAAACATACCACAGCCTCCCTCAGCTTGACAGTAGGGATGTTTTAATTGCTCCGTGTTACTAACTCCCTTAATATCTCCGTATACGTGATTTTCATTTTGAAAATTCTCTACAACTTATAAATTAAGTGACAAATTTAACACTGAAGTTAATTTTATGCCATAGACATAGTTACTGAAAAAAAGAAGCAATTTATCTTTAAAACATTACGATGGCTTTTTTTTTTCTGAGGTGGGGTCTCACTATGTAGCTCAGACTGACCTTGAAATCATTATATAGCCCAGGGAGGCCTTGAACTCAAGATGATCCTCCTGCCTCAGCCTCCCGAGTACTGGGATTATAGACATTTGCCACCACACACGGTTAAGGTGGCTTTTTAAATATGGAAACTATAGACAACTAAATTTATTTCTTCATAAATCAGTAACAATAACCTCTTTAAACTGCCCCATAAATAGCAGGATAGGAGCTCAACTCTGGGAGTGAGCCTGGAGGACTAAAGCGGTGACCATGCTGAATGCGTCCATGAGTGGAGTTAACCTTTAAGAACCTCATTCTTCTTGCTTGCAGAATCAGAGGTTTGGGTGAGATTGTTCTCAAGGTGGTTTTAAGCATCAGCTCGTATCCAGGGTCTTGTATATGACAGCTTCCTCCTGACCACATGGTTATCCTTTTGGGTTGAATGGCATGTATGTGGGGGTGTTAGCTGGTCCAACTACAGAGCTGCCACTCTATATGATTATAAAAGAATTGTTTTTTAAAAGTAGTATTGGCTTACATTTTTATAAATGTATCTCTTATGTGTTTGATATTTATCAGAAATGCCAGATACTCTTTTATAAATTTCCCTTGTTGATAAGTTAATGGGTCTCTGGTTATCACAGAACCTACAGTGAGTGTTGTCCAAGGAATATTCAGCAATATTGGGCATCTCACCCAGGATCCATACGACCTCCCAAAGAACAGTCACATCCCTTGCCATTATGACCTGCTGCCAGTCCGGGACAGTTCATCCTCCCCCAAGCGAGAGGATGGTGGTGGCAGCAGCAGCAGCAGCAGTACCAGCAGCAGCAGCAGCAGCAACAGCAGCAGCAGTGAATGACACCAAAGAACGACGGGGTGACCACTGGAACCCTTTCCAGAACTGCAGTTCAGTTCTTCTCCACCCGTTAGCCTCCTCAGTGAACGTTAGCCAACTTGGTAGGCAGTTGTTGGACGTGATCAGAAAGCTCAAAGCTGAGGCTGGCAGTAGGTGGCTTGGAAGGAGATAGCACTGTGATTTCCTGTTTGTTGTTAGTTTTAGAACTGCACCCGTGAAGCAGGAGTTATCGTAAGATGTTGACTAACAGGACAAACTTGCAGAATTCTTTCAGAGATGTGGTTTGCAGTGGACCTTGGTGTTATTACTTGGAAAATTACAACTTAAATTTTTTTTTCTCATTTGCATCAGGCTTATGCCTAGGATTGTGCAGTTTACCAGAAATTTGCATCATAGAAATGGAAATCACTAAACATATTGAAGATAAGGAGCATTTATTTGAGTCTTTATTGTCTAATTCTTTCCAGCTGGACTCAGAAATGTAGGAGTTGTGTAAATGCAGAAATAAACATTCTGTCAGGTGGCAATACTGGATAAATTGAACAAACACTAGAAATGGATAGCAAATTTAAATATTAAAGATGTAGGGCTTTTTAGAATGAGGAAATGTACAATTAGAATTATTTTAGAAATAGTAGAAATATTACAAGAGTCAATATACCAATGTACCGGGCAGAGGTGGACTTTTTTTGTGTGATCCTCGGCCCAGTTTGGATCCATGACATTATTCTGAGCACTGTCCCATCGTGCGTATTCACCAGTTGAGGCACATGACATATTGTTAATTATTTCATAAATGTAGAAATGAAATAATTTTACTTTTGACAGACTGGATTGAGTGTGTAATGATTAGTAAAGGTTGTAAATTTTATGTGTGAGAAGATACTTCAGTTGTGTAAACCATTAGTAATACATGCTGTAATATAGAATTAGCAGAAAGTTTTGATTAATTTACCCCTAAAAGTGGCCTAAATATTTTTGTGCATATTTGAAAAGGAGCACTTTCCTTTTATTAATTGTTACTTTAGAGAAACTATGCTTAAGCTGGTCTTTTGCATTGCTAATATGACATGTACCCCATTTTTCATTAATTTGTGTTTTCATTAAGTTGTATATTCTATGTTTTGTAGTGTTTGGATTGTTAATGAAAAGCTATTGTATGGTCATTGTTTCTTGTATTAGTGCCATTCATCTTTTGCTTGATTAAAATATATTTTTCTTTTAGAGGAAAGAAATGAAAGCATATAACTTAAAAATTGGTCATTGCTAAAATGGTACTGTCACTATAAATGAATAGCTTATGATGGAAATGGAGAAGCATTTGAATATCCCAAAACCAGCGTCTTTTGGTCTTTGGGTTCCCGGAGTCTTGGTTAAACGGGAGGAAGGAGAGCACCGAACACTGCAGATGGGTCTTCGTAAGACCTAGGTTACGGTCATCATGTAATCGTCCATACAAACTCGGACTCTTTTAGAGTGAGGCCCTGATGAGTGGCTGTCACGCCATGAGTGCAAGCCTGCGCCACCCCGGGTGAACCAGAACAGGTGCTCGTCCTGGGCACACTCACACAGGGACATTTTTCGCTCCGAGGTAGCTATCTTGTGAGAATGTCAAGATACACGAGAAGGCCGGTTTTTCCTTCTTTGATCTGCCTGAGCTAGCTGTGAGGCTAAATAAGGAAGCAACTGTAAAAATTAAGACAGCGGTCCTCCGTCTTTTCAGACATGAAATCTTATATGACGTTTTATCGGAGTCAGCCGATAACATTTGTTAATATATTGCATGCCAGTAGTGTCCATAGGCATTGTCTCAGCCAGCTATTGAGTTGGGAAATCCACTTATTTCATGCCGCATACTTGGATCCATAATGCTTTGTTTGGTCAGATGATAGCACAGCAAATACATGCCCCCGTGATGGCTGCTTCCTTTAAGAGCTCTAAAGTTAATTCAAATAAATAAGTAATTTCTTGGAGCACACATTGGAAACAATTTACTTATTCCAATAATTGTGTTGACCCTTGGCTCTAGGGATGGGCATCAAATGAGATACAAGTAGGTCAGTGGTCATAGGAGTCCTTTTAGGTAAGAAACAAAATAAGACTTTTTCCCCTTTCTTTTGAAAGAGGCATCCCTTCAGAGCTCTGTCGTAAGCTTGTGTGTCCCCATTACTCACTGAAGATAGGTTTTAGAAATCTGTTTCTTTTCTCATTCTCTTATTAAAAAAAAAAGATTCATGTGCAAAGGCAACAGCAATGTAAGTAGAAAGTCTGGACAGCAGAGGTAGACGCCATCGGGCTCATGATGTCCTGAAGCATTTGTACGTGAAGCAATGTTAACTAAGCAGAGCTCACTCAGGACTTTTCCAACATCGAAACACAAGTAGCACTTGGAACACTGTAAAACTGGTTGAAAGGCAACCTTTCTAGATATTTTTACATAATTTCTCTCTTATATCCAGTAGTAGTCAAAGCACTGAATGAGTTTAGGGGTACCTAGCAAAAGCCGTTCATACAAGAATGTAAGCCAAACTATCATTCCTTCCCTAGAAGTTGATGCCTCAAAAAATTATAAATTATTTCTATTTATATATAAATTATCAAAACTTGCTCAAATGATAACCAATGTGCTTTGCTTTAATAAGAATATGTCATCTGTGGTTAATCATAGGATGATAAGGAAACTTCCATAATTATTTACTGTTTGTCATTAGTTTCTCCCCTAACACAGTAATGTTAACAAAGAGTTTAATGTGTTTAACCAATTTGAGGAAAATCAACCACATAATTTTATAATAGGACAATATAACCCGTCTCAACCAAATCCATTGGTGCAACATGTGTCGTGAGAAATGCACAGTGTTATGAAAATTTGGTCATCTTGACCTCAGTGAGTTACGGTAGTGGTACATTGGAATTTTTTAAAAACCATAAATATTGAAAAGTTAGCAACTGGCCAAACTTTGATATTGCTGTATCCCACACTGGTCAGAGTCTCAGATTTGTGTCTTTTTTTTGTATATTGTTCACAAGGTTCCAACTAAACTGGACAGTTTAATATTTAATTTCCAGGGAAACTAAAACAGCAAAATATTCAAGAGTCAAAGCAATGTAATTCGTTTTGATATTGTATGTCCACTTTATATTTAAAATTTTTAAAAATTGAGCTTTAAGATTACGCTTTTTAAAATAATGAATCTCTTGTCTCTGGGTGATATGTCGTTAATATTTAAACTAAATACTTAGGAGATATTTGGGTCTTACAGGCTTTCTGTCATGGGAGTGTACATAGATATAAAAATGTGAATCATGTGGTATGGACAGGCACTTGTTTATTTGCTACAGTTGTACAACAAGCTGCCCTTATGCTAACACTGGGTCTGCTTATTCTAGTTCAGTGTTTAACATAGGATTCATTTTGATAAGACCAAATCACAGTATGTATATTTTAAGAGGGAAAAATAAAAAACATTAGGATTTATTTGGTTACAGCAAACAATTCTTTCAGTGTTGAATATCTATTTTCCAAAGATGGCGAACTTTTATCAATATTAGTCTACATTGTCATTTATAGCACCAAATGAGTTTATCAATTAATGCAATAAACTTTCTAATAAAAATTTCTAAGTAGTGCTTATTTCTACATATGATTCCACTGTTGAACAAGGAAGGAAAAGACTTACAATCCTACTGGATAGTAATTTTGTCATGTGTGGCTTCATAGCACTTTATGTATGCATTTAAAAACCAGTACCACTCCTATTGCTGGTATGTATGCTTTGTCTTTAGATTGCTTATTTCAAAGGAAAGAGGCAACATTTTATTCCTATATGGATTCTCGGCTGAGTCTGGTCTGTTGTAAGTAGTTTCATGTTATCTTACATGGATTTGCTTTTTAAATTTCGGTGCCTGTTAATGCTTTCATTGATAGTTAAACATTATTAAAACACTCACTTATAATGCTAGGTCCCAGGGTTCAAATATAGATAAATGTATGGTCTCTTTTTCTCAATAGCTATGTATCCGCTGGGCCTGAAGGCCAGGTACAGCCAGAATGCAGAAGAGTGAGACACGAGCTGCTTTCAAGTGTTTATTCAGTTAGGGAAGCAAAACATCTTATTAGCTGCATGACTCTGGTAAGTGACTTAATCTCTCAAAGCTTTTGTTTCTATATTTTAGTATGTTGGGAATAATAATACCTATTTGGTAGGGTTTTGTGGAGATTAAATAATTTTATACATATATATATTTATTTCTGTTCCAGGCATGTAGTAGAAATTTAATAAATGTAAGCCAATATCAGTGCTATAAAAAGTATCTAATGATGTAAGCTAGTTTTTAATAACCAAATAAACTGAGGCTGCTAAATCAGAAGCAAGCATTTAACGAATACTATAAAAGCTATATGTTCACATGATCATATTCTGATCTATTTTTGTGTTAAGCCCAAATTCCACACATATTTTATTTCTCAAGAATTTGGAAAACAGTAATAGTATGATTCATCTTCTAATAATATGTTATCTTCCTAAGAGTCAAGAATGTTGTTAAAACATAAGGATGTGGCCTTCTGGGAAGAGGACAACTTGGCCTCACATCCTGTTCTGGAGAATATGGCCATCTAGAAAAAGTGATCTTTATTTATTTATTTATTTATTTATTTATTTTTTATAGTACCGGTGATTGAACTCAGGTCCTTGTGCTTGAGAAGCAGTGGCCAGAACCACTGAGCTAAATCCCCAGCCCAAGGAAAAAGTGATCTTGCAAACTTGAAGTTTCCATAGACAGCGCGATATCAGGTTTTTGAAAGAAGATGCAGGTAGAGTAAAGGTGTTAATGGCAGGGTGGGGGGTGCCCTGGAGGGAGCCAGCAGACCTGGGTGAACACACAACAATAAAGTACTCTGTACCGTGCAGCAATGACAGATGCTGTCTCTTGGATGATCTAGGGCATTTCATGTTGTTTCTACTTTAGGCTGCCGTCAACCTTTCTTTGTTTGGACTCGTGAATGGAGATGTCTTCTGCCACTTACATTAACAGGCTAAGCTGATCACTAGCTGCCCACTGACAAAAAAATACCTACCCTGATTTTCTATGTATAAAAACTAGAGAAATCCACAGAGGTATTGATATCCGGCCCACTAACTGCATGAATTGGCTGAGAAAGATCACAGATAACACAGTGTGAACACTGTGGCCTATGGAGAAGAAAAGACTAAATTATAAAACAACAGTGGCTTTCTATTATGGAGGTGGAGCTCATAGAAAGAAAATGGAAAAAAAAAACCCAGATTAAATGTGACATAAAACTCTTAAAGGGAAATAAGGCCAGAGAAAGCTTCCTGGAACTAAAAAATAAACATTTCCTGGTTTAAAAATTCATTAGAGGAATGTAAAAACAAAAACAGTACTTCCTGCTGAGGTGGAATTCATATTCATATTCTTTCCACCAAATAGAATAAGGAGTAAAATTTCCAAAATGGAAATCCTGGGTAAGAGGAAAACTCGATCTACTTGTACTAGTATTTAAGCAGTCATTGACCCAAGAGGAAAAAAAGGAGTAGTAATGAAAGAATCATAAAAGTTTCACAATGTGAGTCTCGAACTTTCAGATTTTTTGGATATGAAAGGATATAGTAGATTAATGCAAAAAAATTGATGACAAAATATGAAGGAAGTACATCCTTATGAGATTTCTGAACTTGAAAGACAGACAAATTTAAAAACCATACAAGTAGAATGAACATGTTGCTTCTGAAGGAATGAGAGAGAACGCACAGGGTTGGAGGATGACGGAGACGAGGCCACAGTAGGGAAGGCAGTGACTGTGGAACAGGGTTGGGTAGGCGGCTCCTACTGCTCTGCTGCAGCAAAGCTGCACCTCTCCCCAGCCAACTTCCAGCAGATTGCTAAACAGCCCCCATTCATCCTGCTTCAAATCTCTGGGCCCAACTAGTCTAGACCAGACAGAGGCAGCAGCCTCAAGAAGAGGAGAAGGAGCCAGTGTGATGGACTAGCATGGGAGAAGAAACCAAGAATAAAGAAGCACCATTTACCATACCTTGGTGAATTGTTATCGAAGAATCAGTGAAAAAAACATTAAAGCACAAAATTGGTGGAAGCCTTGCAGAGCTCTTGGCTAATGGAATGTTAATAACATGGTCTTTTTATTGACTATCAAACAATAGAAAAATTCAAGTGGGCCTCAGAGTGGTCACTCTACCGTGGTATATTTGATGATTAGAATCTGATGTAAAAGTATATGGAACAAACAATCTTTAAACACCTATGAGCAGAATTTCAAGTCTATTAACGTCTTAACACTCCGCTAAGCAGAGAGCATACTGCTAAACTTACTGTTGGAGCGTCTCCTTTTTCTAGGCCTTTAGTTGTACAACTGCATCTTGGACATTAGGATAAATAGGGGAACAGACAGGAACATTATCCTCTCTAGAGGCCCAGCCATGATCAGGACCTTGATACATTGCTTTCTAAGTGTCTGGAAGAGAACCATAGGTGCCATGCTGAAATTCAGGTGAAGACTTGGGAGACCACCGACCAAACCTGAAGTGTATCGACATAGTACTTGTAACAAATTACATGCAGTTTGGGAAGCTCAACACCAGCTTCCGTGGTTGCGTTCTGCCAATCAAGGAACACCGCATGGGATTATGAAAAAAATAGATCCAGCACTTGTCATCACGTTCCAGTGTTTGGAATCATGTGGTAGGATTTGTTTGATCTTTAATCTGAAAGATTGTTTTTAGTACCTCTTTTGTGTGGTTGGTTTATAAACCTTACTTGAGGACTGTGTAGCTCAAAGGTAGAGCTTGTGTCTGGCATGCAAGACACCATGGGTTTGACTCCCAGCACCACAGAAACAAAAACAAAAGCAAAGCAAAACAAAATGAAACAAAACAAAAACAAAATCTATAATAAGACCAAATACAATAATGTAATGAGTACACCTCATAGTATTTTGCCTTAGATTAGCTAAATCTTCTGTGTATCCAAAAGAAGGGATTTTTGGTTCTTTCTTAGTCGTATTATTTTATATATTAACAAATTTCAAAATTGAATAAAATTTAGTGATTCAAGATAATGCTTGAATTATACATGTGTACTTATTGGTACAAAATTTTTTCTTCTTTCACACTTATAGAAAAAAATCCAATAAATCACTGTTGTCTTTAAAGAAAAAGATTAACAATACCCCTGTTGTCTTGTTTACACATTTACAGGACTCTAGTTATTATCATTTAAAATTCTCTTCTGTTATGTCCCAACATATGGGATGATCTGTTTTCTAGCCAATGCCTTTGGAACTGAGAAACTAGTAGAGAGTTTTTCGCTTCAGTGTGTATATCGGTAATATCTACTAACTGGTACATGTGGTAAATGGAGAAGAGGGTCATCATAAAGTGGGGTGGGCTTAGGTAGAGCACAGTCTTTCTAAGGGGAAGCAAGGTAGAACAGTGGGTGCCAGGTGTTCAATAGTAAAGGAGAAATCTTTCCCCTACCGCTGCTTTATCATCACTTCTTGAGAAAGGTGTTTCCTGACCACGTGTGTGGTACAGAACCACTGTCCTGTATTCCACTACCCTGCTTGACTTTCTTCATGAAGCTTAGTGTCTGAAGTCATATTATTTCATTAATTTGTTGATTTATGCTTTATTTGTCTTGCTAACTGGAATGTAAGCTCAATGAAGGTGAGATCTTTTCTGTTTGGTTTGCTGTTGTACCACCATACTCAAGGGTCTTGCGTATGGCAAGGATTCATCAAATATTGATTGACTAAATAAATGAATAATGAAATCTCCCAAGTGCTGGAGCACTATATACTTTACCACTGAACATGTCTTTAATGCCTTGTAATATAAGATGTTTAACAATGTTTAGCTCTTCTGTGGAGACCAATGTATGCATTTCAAGAGAAGGAATTTTCTCCATTACTTAACTCTGTTTCTTTCTTCAGAAACTTTTTAATGGCTGTTCTTTGAGCAATGGGGTCAAACATTAAAGGTGGCCTTCCAGAACTACTTGTCTTTAACTTTCTTAGAACTACTCTTTCAGTCTCTATCTTTTGAACTTCACTTCCCTCTCCGTCTTCTTATTAGGACCAGACTTGTTTCAGGTTAGAGACAATACATCACCAGTGTACTTAAGTAAAAGTATGCTTTGTGAAATATGTCCTTTAGAGACATCTGTGGTGGCACAAGCTCTGTGGTGGCATTCTGATCTCCTTGCTTAAATCCACCACTCCCTCATTTCCTTGGTCTCAGTCTGGTGACCCCAGTGGTATACTGGTAATTTTTTTTCCAAGCAGCTCTCTGAAAACTTTCAAAAGGCATTGATTTATAATACCTGACTGTTCCCAAGGTATAAATCCTCCCTCTGTGGGCAATTTCAAACTTCCAACACGACATTGCCGAATGGAGAGTGAGGAAGAGATGCTCAGTAGCTCACTATTATATAGTATTTCCGACCACTTGTGCAGAAACACCACCCTGTGCGCCACTATAATAGATGTAAACAATTTCAAGAGTATAGCTTTTAGGGCCGGGGATTTAGCT